CAAGCAATCGTCAATCAAATTCACGAGAATTCACCTCACAGGACATGATTGTGACCTGTCTTACAAGTGTGCAAACTGCAATTTTCCAGGAGTTTCTAGTAATTTGTCACTGCTAAAAAATGTTTTTTAGTTTGTTTTGTATTTAAACATTGAGGCAAGACAAGTGAGAAGGAACATTCAGGTGCTGAACTATTATTGTGATTTTGAGGTTATTGGTTAGAAATTATGTTCACTATTCTGTGTTATGGAGGGGAGAATATCACTTTCAATGGAAGATCATATTTTAATCAATGAATTATACTTGGAGACAGCACTTAAAGACCTTCACGACACTGGGCATGGCAGCTCACACACAAGCTCACTTCTCGCCCTCACACACCAGCTCAATTCTGACGCTCACACACCAGCTCTCCTCTTGCCCTCACTCACCCGGTCTCTACTTACCCTCATACACCCGCTCTCCTCTTGTCCTCACACACCCGCTCACTTCTGGCCCTCACTCACCACTTCTTACCCTCACACACCCGCTCAGTTCTTGCATGCAGACAGATTTGGGCCGTAGTCCAGACACATGTCTCCTCAGTGTCCCCTCTCGGTGCCGCTGCCTGGTGTCACACTCACCATCTGTTTCCTCCGGCGATCCTGGCTTGGACAAACACATTTATGAGTAGGTAATGGTGCGCACCAAACTTGTGACCTTGACTTTGTCTGGTCCCTGTGATGCTGTGGGGAGAGAGGGTGAGATTGATGACATCCACTGGGCCTTTTGATTTGGCTGTTGTGGCGGTGGAGCTGGAGAATCCCATGTTGCCTGGATACATGGCTGTCTGAGCACCAGCCTCTCCACGCAGCTCTTTCTTACTTAACTTCAAAGGTAAACAGCCAATCACCTTGCCATAAAAATGTTCCTCCCATTCTGACTCGATTTGAGAAATCCAAAACATTTACAGGTTTATACCACATGCCAGCTTTGCTATATCAAAGCCCACCTCAAGTTATGAACATATTCAAGACAGTGTGTGGTGCAGGCAGGACAATTGATTTTAGTAAATGAAAGGCAGTGGAATGTATACAGAGTAGGACAGATTATAATTGTACTGATATCAGTGCTACTATGGATGAAAACATACTTGAGTTGGTTTATATTAATACTTTACTGCTTATCACTATGCCAAAGGTAGATATTTTACACTTATTCATTATGCTAAAGTTATAATGTTTGCACTCATTATGCTAAAGATAGAGATTTTATACTTGTTTATTTTCTTTTATCTTGTGTGCCACTCATTCTTACTGTTCTGTAACTGGCGATGCAACACTGAAATTTCCCCACTGTGTCACAACTAAAGGATCTCTTAACCTTTTACTGCTAAATATGGCAAGAATTTGATCATTTGAACATCCACAATGTTTCTTCATTAATTTAGGGCAGAATCAAACGTACGTTCAATGAAATATGACCTGCGCGGCGGCAGTAGCTCAGTTGGTAGCGCATTGGTCTTTAGGTTGAAGGTTGTGGGTTTGAGCCCACCACATGTTGTTGTGTCCTTGGGCAAGACACTTAACCCCACTTTGCCTGAAGCCCCCACTGAAAGATCAAGGCACCTGTGGACTCACCACCTGCAGGCGGTTCAGTAAAGGGCTGGTGCTGTGTGTACTGGGTGCAGCTCTGATTGTCATCCCCCCGACCCAGAAGAAGGGGAAGAAAATGGATGGATGGAAATATGAGTGTGTTTTTATCCAAACTAGCCTGGCCATAGCCATCCGTACACTCCGCTCAATCATCATTTCACTGCATGTAACGTCTGGGTCTGGTCCCTGTGTTAGCGAATACAATCTACTCAGAGAGCGCGGAAGGCGGGTGTTGTAGGTCGGTGCCGGTGACGTCAAGAGTTTGCGCCGAACGGGCAGGTTGTAGTTTGGCAATGGCGAAAAATGCGATAGTAAAGTAATCCGGTCTGGTTCTATCAAGAAATTGAAGCAGGAGCAAGAGGAATGTTTAGCAAATGAAATTGCTGGTCAAGATTGTGGCGCTACTCCCCACGGGCTTTGTTAGCGGCAAAGGAGATGGCTAGGCTAAATGCTAAATGCTAACAACACGCTCGGGCGCACTACATACGTCACGGTAAACTCAGATCCAATCGTTTCAATCTGCAAAAGGAGTTAACCCCTCCCACCTGTTCACGGAGCTCCATGGAGCAAATCCAGACCTTAGTATGAAATTAAATTTGTACTAAGGTGTGGTACAACCAGGCTAGCTCCAAGCAACAGACTGATACAAAGGACAAGGCCATAGTCCCTTTTGGATTTAATCAGAAAATGTTCCCTTCAGATTTTTCCAATCAATAATGCTATGTTTTACTCTGCTTTTCATAAATGCAACTGCAACTTTACAAATGTGTCCAGAGTCTTTGCTTTTGAGCTTTCGAGTAAAGACCAAATCCAATCCTGGTGATGAGTGATGTTTATGAAAGAGTCTTTAGAAGCATTGTGAACCAAAGACGTTGGCAGTAAAATCATTATTAGATAGAACATAGACAGACAACAGACAAACTCACAAACTATTACTCATCATGTAAACCACAAACCCCAATCAGCCGCAATCACAAGCGGAAAATCAAAATGACGAGTTGAGTTGAGTGTTTATTTATTTCGAGTTCAATGTACATCAAACATTTGTTATCACATTTTCTAGAAAATTGTTCAGTTACAATTATTTATTATTTCAATATTGTACTTGATTCAAACTCGAAAAAGGAGTGGGAGGAATAAAAATCGTATAAATTCCCACCCTTGTGAATATCATATTTTCATCCTTGTGTTTGGAGCCAGTAGCAGAGCATTGTGCAACAACAGCACAATGTCCCCAGCCAATCATGACAGCAACTAGCAGCTAACTAGGAGAAGTTTGTTTATTTAAAGCCACTCTTTGCATTTTTTACAGTTGCTCCAAATAAACATAAAAAATATTTCACAAAAAACAAAAAAAAATTAAAATAATACAGACTTTATTGATCACACACAGGAGAAATTAACATCTCACATTTGGCAGAGATAGAATCACTCAGATTTGTACAAAAGACAGAGGTGTGCGAACATGTTAAAGGCAAAACATATTGTCTGTTCAGGATATATTATGCACAATAAAAAGTGGTGATTAAAGAAACAGTAGCAATAGTAGTGCAGTTTAATTTTTGTATGTGACCCTTCTAATAATATTTACCTCCATTGTGTTTTTGAATTGTTGTTATAGGCTTAGAATTTGACTTATGTCCATGAGAGCTGGAGGTCTCTACATGTCAATGCACCATCTGGAAATACAGTGGTTGATAAGGCACACAAAGGAGTTTGAGTTGGGGACCACTGCCAAAGATGACACATTGTCCTGCGAAGCTACGGTACTATTGTAAATTACAAAATGTGATCTCAATGCTAGATGAGAGTAGAAACTACAGAGTATCTTTAAGAGACAGTGTGAGTTGTAATTCCATGTTTAATTCCTATATGTGCTTCATCTATGCAAAAACACAACCCACACTGCACCGATTTCCCCTAAAACCTCCTCTTTCTCTGGATGACCGGTCAGCTGCCAAAAAACAACCAGAGTGCAAAATACTCACTTCAGACAGATGTCGCCCTGATGGATGGGATCTTTTCAATTTGAATGATTGTGTTCACTTTACACCTCTTCACACGACTCCATTTAGCCATCGCCTACAATTATGATTCGATCTACTGCTGTGAACACTGGGCCCAAAATGGTTTAATTTCACTCTGCTGATCAATAGCACCTGATACAGTCCATCTCACGCTCAGACGCGGCATTTATAATGTCATTGACCATATTGACGTAGTATTGACGTGGGCAGGCCGGGAAAAAGCACCCGGAGCGCTGGCCCATGTCCGCACAGCAGCCCACCTCTGTAATGGCTTTTTCTCCCACAGTTGTGAAAGCACCATCTGAGCACAAGTATTAGTGTAGAGGGGAACTTGTCGAACCTTTAGTAACAAAGCGTAAGGGACGCTTTTGTTTTAGGAAGCACAATGGGTTGAAACAGTATAGTAAAAAATGTCTTTCTCCTTGCTATTGACATGTTTTGTGGCTTTTGTTGAGCGCAGTGAATTTTAAAGCTAAACCTTGTGGTTACCCTTGAAACCCCTCTTCTTCAAAGGTCGGTTTCTTCAAAGATAGTCATTGGTGTCTTTGAATTTACCAATGCCAGCGTTATCCAAACATGACCTTGCATGCAACTTCAAAAGAACCACACTAAATGCAGAAGGGTCTAAGGACAGTCATCATCCAGGACATGTATGGACATTTATGGACATTTTTCATCCCGCGCCCTATAGACCGATGAATGTGATTTTTATTGCATTCATCTGAACAACAGATCAGAGAATCAAACTTGCTAATTTGTGAATCGATAAATTTATAATGTCCTCCGAGACGACTGCTGTTTGGGATTCATACACAAATAAATTTAGATAGCATCGCGGATGATCCAATTGAGTGCATGCACAGATGGTTTACTCAGCCTTTTTGTATTAAAACTACATTGCTACACTTATCAGCAAGGGTAATCCTGTCGGAACAAATTCCCAAATAATGAAATTGGCTTCAGCTACCTCATGTCCAAATCAAACAAACTGGTGATGTCAGCACGGTCAGTCCACTACTAATGCACAGCCTATATGATTTTAAAACTGTACCTGTTCTGACATGTAAAATCAACATAGATGCCATACGTACCAACGAGGATAACAATGAAGTTCCTCTGTGGATAAATCTGTGAAGGATGGCTTGGTCACTAATATGCTTTTTCCACTCGATACTTCAAGATAAGGACAGTTTATGCTTAGTTGCTGTGATTAGACAATTAAGGCAGTGTTTTTTTTCATCCTGCAGCTTTGCTCATTACTCCAATAACTGCCACAAAGAGGACTGCTCATTCAAGCCATCGCAAACACATTATGGGAATGGATAATAACACAACAGACCTATGATCATTGTGGTGTACAGGGTTGTGTATGGTTTTATCTGCCTGTATGCGCTTATGTAAATATGTTGTCTGTCTTTATGAGCTAAATATATATACATATTCAATTCAATGTGTTTTCGTATAGCCCTGAATCACAACAGTAGTCGTCTTAGAGGACTTTACAAAGTCGATTCCTCAACAGATCCGAGAATCAAAAATTTCGATCGATGTCCATAAGTGTTAAATAAATTTCCATTAATGTCCCTGATCATCAGTGTCCTCGGACGGTTTTTTAATGTTTTGCTGTCTAATTCTGATACAAAATGTGGCTTCATGCATACACTGTCCTAGTGTTATTGTCCAACAATAACACTTTTTTTCCTGAGTTACTTCTAATTGCATCTAATATCAGGACCCTAACATCGCTGGCTGTCCAGTCCATTGCTGTGGGTCAGGCTCGGAGTCACAGTGCAGACACATCCTGCGTCCTTCAGCGGCGCGTGTGGGAAGGAGAGGAGGGGCAGGATCACGGGCGGACTGCCGCTACTGCTGCTGCTGCTGCTGCTGCTGCTACTGCTGCTGCTGCTGCTGCTGCTGGTGGTGTCGTTACACCGCGCAGCCACTATCACCACTCCTGGCTCTACTCCCATCTCTTTCATCTCTTTTCCTCAACTTGTCCCGCGCCAGGATGGACACATTTTTCCCGCTGTTTTCTCCAAAGTGACTCACGGAGGCGTAAAGCGGACCGCGCTGCTGTAAATTGGGGATGTCTCTGGGCGTCAGACGGTGAATGTTATTTTTTTTATTTTTTTGCTATTGGGGATTGCAGAAATTTCTAACGCGCGAAGAGAGCGGGAGGCAGAGCGGACCCGTGCGCTCTTGGAGACAGAGGAGTCGCAAAGAAGCATGGAAGATATAATCCAGCGTGTTTTTCTTGTTTTTGCTCACTAAGTTTGACCGGTCCGAAGTCAGGCGGGTGAAAGTGGATTGATTTTTTTTTTTAATTGATTGTTTTCGTTTGAGGGGAATTCATGCACCGATAAGCTGAGACGGGGCCAATATGCCAGAATGGGTCCTCTACTCTCAATCCTTCTCTATGGACTTCTGTGCACCCAAACACAAGGTAAGTTCTCAATCTTTCATTCAAATCCGTCTTTTCAATGGACGTATTTATCATTGTGCGTAAAAACAAATATAGTTCTCACCAAAGCAATGCGCCCACGGTCAAGTGTATACGAAGATAACGCACTCCACGCGCAACAGTGAATTGGAAATCTTGTGCATTCTTCAGTAACGACCATTTAAAAAGCACAAAAGAAGTGCTAATTAAGTCCCATTTAAACCTTGATTCTAGGCAAGGCTGTGTGGCTAATGAAAGTTTATTTATTCATGAGGGCTGCCATAATTGAACACATTTATTACTTAAATACAGAGACTGACAGCTTTAGCTTTGTTTATTCCACACCAGGGCAGTTCTAAACCCACTGTTTTGAAGCATACGATTACTTATTCATCAGCCTCAGCCTTATATCTTGATTTACATACTAATGTGTTTTTTTTGTGTTATGCAGAGTCATTCCATTACTCTGAGGAATGCATTAAGATTTGCTTTTCCCCAATTTGTATGGAATCTGGCAAGAAATGTTAAATCCATGCATGTCATTAGCATTTTTTATTGTAATGTGGGGTACGTATTGTTAAGTGTTTAAGAGAGCTACTCCTTACATCCATGTCATGTCCTCCTTGTGAAATGCTGTGTACCCCTTCAGCTCACAAATGGCACACTTAGAATGTGTGTCAGTGTGTTACATGTATTTAGGTGGTGCCTGTAGTCTTTGCCTACAGTTCCTGGTTTATTTTGTGGCACATATTTTGGTATGCGATGTTTATTTACAATATTCTGTTGGAACGTTCTGACTCATTCATTACAAAGTTAATACTAGTATTGTCTTGCAAACCCAAATCCATGGCATTGTCAGCTACATTCAAACAATATATCCCTAATCTCTGTGCTATTATTAGAGGAAGATGGTGCAGATTTGGCAGTTTTGCTAATTAAGCAGGGATTTTGGTAAACATTCGAGCCTGATTTGGTGTTTTCCAATTGAGCGAAACATCTGTGAGACGCGCCTCTAGGATATGTTAATTGGCAGCGCATGACTGATTATTCCTTTGGCAACACTATAGATAATCTATGGGCCGTTAGGGAGGATGAGTGTTTGTCCCGAACAGGGTTTCCAGTTACTGACAATGTATGATTCTAGAGCCAATCACAGACCAGTCTTGCTCATTAATCCCCAAGAAAACATAAAAAATATCAATATAACGGAAAATATGTGTCATTTCATGCATATAAACCATAATTACTTTCAGTGAGTTGATCGTGGTTACGACACTTTCTTTGCGTCATTGTTATGCCCTTCTCTGAGTGTTTTATTGGCAGTTGACTGAAGAATTAGCGCACCCTGTTTATTACATCCGACCACGTTTTAATGAGGAAATATTGACATTAACATCATTCATTCGGTGTAAAATACAAAATGACAAAAGGACACTTCGATAACTTAGATTTAGAGCTGTCAAGGTGGCAGTAAACTAGTGCCAATACCACCCAAGGACAGCGAGGACATCACACTGGCAAGCCAACTCCTGAAAGTGAAAAGTAATGGGCAGGATTTTAGGACCCATTTTTTGGTAAGTTTCAGCACCATGGACAGCACATGAGCATAGCAGTCTGGGGAATGTAGAAGCGTATGGCAAAAGATTTACAGTTAGAGCTGACTTAGTTACTTAGTTACTACTTACCATGACCTGTTATTGTTGTTGTTCATTTCACCTGGAATTACTAAAAGGTGATATCTGCAGATTTGCTGGAGGAGAATACTTAGACTAATGGCAAGAGGCCTCACCTTATTTTGTAGTTGTGGTGAGTACTTGTGGGTCTAACCAGGCTTGCTTTGAAAAAAAAATAGCTCTCTTCAAAATAAAAAAATGAAGTTGTTCTTTCCTCAATGTACTGATTGACTGTTATTTTAATGTGTGATGCTTCATATCAAGTTGAGCCAGATGTGTTTATGCATGAGCTTTTAAACACAATCCCTCAATCCTAAAAGTACATCTTGACAATAAATGTTATATGTGAGCTATTTGGCAATGAGTAAAGTGCCTGCAGCAGTATAATTACCAAGTCCAAACGTAATGGCACAACATCCCAAATAAATAGCAGTTAGTCCAACCAAACAGCCATGTAGTATATGCACATAGTACGTACATATATATCCTAATTTTTTATGATTTTGTGCCTAATTTTGAATTTGTTTTCAAATTTTCAAAATTTAGCTTCAGTTTGTATTGATTCAGTATTGATTGTGTATTGATTTAGGTTTGACTGATTAAATGACCACTCCTGACAAGCAGTTTTTGAGCTTCTTACTTATCAATGGTATTATGCAATTCTTTGATTCATAGTTGAACTCTTACATTTCTTTCATCATCTATCATAATACTGTGTGTGTGGTTATATACCAGAGTACCTTGGGCATTAACATGTTTGACATGATTAGCTAACTAACAACTACTATTGTTTTCAAATATACAATTCTAATTCTAATGGCCCTTATCTATTGTGTTTGATTTCTTGCTATTGTGGTGATTCTGCAGCAAGAGAGGAGAAGGTATCTGCTCTCTGTAACAATGTAGCATCAACGCCTCGGTGGTGTCTTTGTAGTACAGTATATCGCCGTTGTATTCATTATGTTTTTGAGCTTGAAACCTCTTAGAAGTCAACAAGACCAGTGAATTTGATTGTGGCAAAGCTCTCTCCTTAAGGGCGACATAGACAAAACAATTACCCCTCCATTCATGTCTTCTATCTCCTCTCATTCATATTCAAGGTCATGGCGTCTCGAGTCTTCACTGAGGCAAATGGAAGCAGCTTTGTGGAGAGGGTCTTCATTCTATCACGGCCCATAAGAGAGTGACAGCACCCCATTGAACTCTACATTACAATGTGCCCACCACTGTGCCACCCAAATCATCTCATTTATATTCACTTGTCAGACCGCACAAATCCCAAACTGTACATTAGTGGAGGGCAAGATAATGGGACATCCAATTAGAAGAAGTGACTATTGCACAAAATGTGTGTTTGTTTGTGTGCCTCTAGGGACCCACACACACCCCTGAGACATATGGACAAGGTTTTAAAAGCCTGTTAAAAACATTATGTATCGTCACTATTTAGAGAGTTGGCGCCAGTTAATGGAATGTTTTTTTCTCAACAAACCTTTTAGCATTTAAAGACTGTATGAATTGGTCAACAACGACTAAAAAGCCTGGATGTTTTAATCTATTATTATTCTCAATTACAGCAGGGTATAGATTGGCATATGAAAACAGCATAGATATTTTAAACATAATCAGGATTTGAGCAGGTCTTACAAACAAGACCATTGTAATTGTAAGTATTTTGATTTATTCAGGCTAAATTTAGTAATTGTATTTTTCCCTATGCTCAAGGCTTGAGTACTCTGAAAATGTGTGTTTACCCTCTGCACTGACTGAAAATCAGCCCAAGTTCTGCAGTTATGATTGAGCAAACAAATATTTGCTCTCATAATAAAGTAATTTGTTTTGACCACAAAGTGTGTGGGTCCCTCAGGACACAACCTATAATTTCATTTTCAAAGAAACAGGCACTTTTCATGGCTATAACTCAACATTTGAAACTGCTCATTTTCTTTTTTACCATTTTACCATTTGCGCACATAACTGTATGACTTTAGCCATACATTTGTCTAACATTATGATCATTATCTGTTAAAACACCTTCACAAATTGTATTTTTATACACGGGATTGTTTGTAGTGGAGGTGAACCCTTTACACATGTTTCGAAAATAAATTTGATTTGAAACAGAGAGAAGGTAAGAGATAAGAGGACTGCTAAAATCAATATGAAAAATGTGGGGAAAATCTATAGGAAGCCAGGTTGCTCTATAAGATTCAGGGCTAATGTTATATTTCTACTACTATTTCTATAACATTAAATAATAATTTAAATGAATTAATAAAACTTTTACATTAATATCAGCACAAAACATGACAATGCAACAGTTTGAAACTTCGAATATTGTCTCTCTGAATTTGGCAGCTCATACCTTTACATTGTCATTCAAATGTGTGTCAATCAAGTTTGATCAGCCAACAGTACCTACTTCAAACTACTTCCTACAATTACTTCTATTACTACTTATCTAATCCAACATATTGACAAATTCAACATTGTTTTCCAAGCAGCAAACCAAATCTATGAGCTTTTGTGATATCCATATGTGTGCTCACCCACTGTGCGATAGACGACAGTGGTGATGTTGTCCCATCTTCAAACAAACAGCGTGCAAATGCATTTGGGTCACTCTGCTGTGACATTTAGAGGTGGCATTAACATCAACATTAGACTCGGCTGGGCTTTTCTCATAGATGGATGAATAGAAAGATATGGTTGGAGGTTATTCATCATCAAACTTAACACAACTGGTGACATTTACAAAGGGTTTCCATAGGATGTGACTGTTTTGTATATAGTTGGTTATAGAGGAATGATGTTTTTGTTCTGTATAATAGTACCAAGTGTAAGCAGCGTCTGAGAGCACATGAAGCCAGTGTTTGATGGGACGTGTTAATGAAAAAGCTAATGCGATGTAATGACTGCTGCGTTGTCTGTGTAAAGTAAATAAGAGAAGACTGGAGGACTATCATTTCACTTCGCTTATAAAGCAGTCTTTGAGAAAAGAAGCCAAAATCGACAATACCATTTGCTGTTTGTACTACGTCTGCAGATCTGGGAGATTCTCTTTTGTGTGAGATATTGGCCTAAACTTTTCTTGCCTCGGGTTTGTCAGCAGAATTTACGCAGAATCGACAAGAGTCTGTATTTGAAAATTAACTCGTTGCTTTATTAAAAACAGTGATTTTATGCACAGCCGTGTTTGCTTTTGTAATAGCAATGGTTCAGGATTTCACCATTGTACTGCTGAAGAAAATTAAAATGCATTATTTATGTCTCTCTATAACTGTCTGCTCTGTTCTTTCTCGCTGCAGGGTCTCGAGTGCGTCAAGAAGACTCCCCCCCTCGCATCGTGGAGCACCCCTCTGACCTGATTGTGTCCAAAGGGGAACCAGCCACACTAAACTGTAAGGCAGAGGGACGTCCCACGCCCACGGTGGAATGGTACAAAGATGGGGAGCGCGTGGAGACCGACCGCGAGAATTCACGCTCACATCGAATGCTGCTGCCCAGTGGCTCGCTCTTCTTCCTCCGCATCGTCCACGGCCGCCGCAGCAAACCTGACGATGGCACTTACGTATGTGTCGCTCGCAACTATCTGGGGGAGGCCGTGAGCCGCAACGCATCCCTGGAAGTGGCATGTAAGTCTTTGTCCCTGGGCAACAAGTGAGGGAACATGGGGCATTGGTATCAGTAAAACACGCAACAAACTAATGTAACCTCATATAGATAAATCATGTGAACATGTTCCATCACAAAACATGCTGCACTGTTTCATTTGCTGATGGAATATTTACCCTTTGATCTCTTTGATAGCATAGATTGGACACAGATCAGTGAAATGCATTCACAGAACCATCATCACAGGAATCAGTGATCATAAATTATAAATATGACTTCAAATAAGGTCTTGATATTTACAGGTGACTGCAGAACACTGTTGAATTAACTTGGAGGGAATGATAAAACGTTAACATGTTTTTATCTTCTCTAGCAACAATAAGTAATTCTAGTACATCAAATTAAAGTCCAATCAGAAACACCTAAACCAATATCATAGAGCTGTTTCCTGTTGAAGCACTTTTTCAAATCAAATAACAAGTTTTGAACGACAGAATTTCCAACTCCACAACGACAGGCTGGGGACTGGTCCACAGTCCAGGGCGGGGAGTCCAGGGTTTCAGATCCCAATGGGTAATTAGCAATAATTAGCAATAAACAGGCTGCAGGTGAAAGTAAAACTGGACACAGGTGGCAGACAAAGTATGAGAGGTTAGGTTTCATCATATTGTGGGCTGTGGATCTTCTAAAAACAGTTCTGAATATCTGGTACATCAACAGTAGTTGTGTATTTATCTTGATATGAGTGTGTTATGACCTTAAAATAGTATTTACAATTTAAAGCAGTACATTTAGGGCATGTTCACACTTGTTGGCCTGGTTGAATGTAAGTCTGGTTCACTTTGGAATAAAGAAGTGCGTCACAGATCTGTTTCAAAATGGGTAAATAATAAGTTATCTTGTGTGGTGGTTTTACTTCCCCATATAAAGCATTGACCGGAATTGGTTCAGTTAAAGTGAACCAGACCATTATGTATAAAAACATCCTCAGTCTTTCATGTTTCGTCTTCACAATGAGAAATAGCTTGTTATGAACTCAAATCAGGACAAACTTATACAATGTCTTAGATGAACTAGATTCTGTGAAAGATGGACATACGTTATGTTCGGCACTGCTTGTCCTAAATATGTTCTGAATGTTTAATGCTAAGGCCCCAGCTTGTTGATTCACTGCTTTGTCTGTACTCGCCTGCTTTAAACTGCTCACACCCGCACTATAAACAAACACAATCTCACAAAAGGGCAAAGGGTTAGTCATTTTTGTAGTCAATTGTTTTATGCTGTTTGTTTAGAATTCCCAACTTCCCTTTTTTTTGGTATTTTTTCCTTTTTTTTTTGCACCACGTCCCAGTGAAACGAGAAGCCCAAAGCGGTGTGGGTGTTGCGATGATGTGTGCTCGCATGCATGTATATCTGCCTTTGCATGTGTGCGTCCAAGCGTGTGTGTCTGCGTCTTGTTCATGGCAAGAAATCAGCTCAGTTTAGCACATAATGGAAATGCGGATAGCCCAGAGCGCCTCTTCCTCCTTCCCACACGGGGAGAGAACTGGCTGGGAGCAGGATGCAGCTTTCCAAATCCAAACAGTGGAAGCGAGCGGGCGAGGTTCAGATACCACCCCTCTCTCTCTCCCCCGAGCCTTTTACTGTGCTGCCCATACATTACTCAAGCAGGTCATCCAAACAGGTCTCACTAGCTGTATTCACACACATGGTGCACTGGCAACATGCTAGGCTCAGCAGACCTAAAAGGCTTCAGAACCAGATCAGATCTTACTCATGTCATGACACATGGCCGCTGCTAAAGGGATCCTTGACTAGAGGCACCTCAGGAATGACATGAGTAATTTATAAGATTATTTTTTTTTTATTTACATTTTGATCTAACCCTAACCCTCAAAGGTACATGTGGGAACGTAAAGCCTGTTGAAGGTGCGTTGTGTAATTTTCCCAATGTATTTGTTTCTTTGCTTGTTATGTTCCTTAGTATGATTTGAACATGCATTATTTAATTCAAAATCTACACAAACAGCCGTCCACCAGCTAAAGACGTGCAGGAAAAAAGTGTAGAATGAGAGCCTCTAGGGCAAAGTAAAGGCTTTCAAAAGTATTCAATGCCTACGTTTTGCCTGTCTTTCACCTAAGTAACACATATGTCATGCCTATTTTACGCCTATGTTCTGCCTATATCATGCCTATGTTACGAGTGAGTTGCGCTTATTTCATGCCTATGCCACGCCTATGTCATACCTATGTTACGCCTATGTCACGCCATTGTCACGACCTATGCTACACCAATGTTACTCCTACATTACTAAATTAGGAATTCATTTTGGTCGGTTTTCATCTTAATAGATATAACTTGTAACATGTGAAGTCACTTGCTCGCCCAGTGTAGTTGGAAAGTTTAATATCAAAAGATTCAGATTCAGATTCATTTATTTGCCATTTGCAGTTTGCAGTAAAAGCAGCACATTCCTAGGATAAAACTGGATCCACCAACAGGAAAGTTGTGACGTGCCTGCTTAAGTTTCTCAAAGCATTTATAGTATTTCTTAGAGAGGAAAAAATTAGGCAAGTCAAGAACCATCACACAATCTCACATTGCACCCTTTTGTTTTCATTGTGCTTTCTTGCTTCCCTCTTTATTTTTATTTTTTCAAATCAATAGCACAATGCTTAAATTAATATTTCAGGATCATCTCTCTAGAGTTGGAAACACTAGAAAATTCTGGCACAATTCCACAGAGGTATTACAGACAGCCATGGGAATTCGCAATCCACCAGACTGCTGGCCTAGACAGCCAGGCAGACACATTTAGTCACTGAAGTTTGTCAGAAATGTTGCATGTTCGTTTATTTATTTATTTATTTTTCTAACTCTGTGCCCAATTATAATATGATATGTGAGCAACAATTTTTGTCACATGGTTGGTTGCATCCATTTGGTCCGTGTTAAATCAGCCTATTAATGGTTGAATGCAACGTATACAGCAGTGGCATTTTTGAATCCCTCACAAGAGCTTTTTCTGTGGTGGTCATAATGACTTGAAGACCTCTGTCGTGATAAGCCCTAAAGTAGACTGTCCCCTGTACGATTTATGATGCTCATATTGCAGTTGTGCCTCGCCTTTATTTCTCTGCAGGACTCTATTTGAAAGAGATAGAAATACTAAAAGTGATCTAAAAGGGACAAGATAATATCACATCATTTGTTCCCAACATCCAGTCTTTGTCTATTGGCTTTTCCACATTACACCCTTTTGTTTACATTGTGCTTGCTTGCTTCCCCCTTTTCTTCTGCTAAATCAATAGCACAATGCTGAAATACCTTGAAAATAATGGTACAGATTCCGGTTGGTGCAGGAATGTTAAGGGATCCGGCATTGATTGGTCCAGAAGATAAGACTTACTGTTAAAGCTCTGAGGCGTCTTACAGTATATGCAATCTCGCTCCATGGAAAGAGAGCAGTGGTGTAGAAGATATTGAGCAAATCCTTTCTATAAAGAACCCAGGACCGTCGTTCCACTGTCAGGAGACTAATGTTAAAGCTGCTACACTGAATACAGGCAGACTTCATGAACACAATGACAGTGGAAAACCAAATTGGCAGGGATTTTCTTTTTTCTAGCCTGAGGATTTCCAGTGTGCTGTAAAACAATACACTCAAGCATTTTTTTTTTTTTTTTTTTTTCATATATTTGCAAAATCCATTTTCAGGGTGCTTTGTAAGTGTTACTACGAGCACACTTTTTAATGCTAGGAGAGATGGGGATGACTCAATGGAAGAGATGGCAAACACAAGACTTGAGATGAGACTTGAGGAAGCAGTCTTAATCAATAATGCGAGCTAAAGAACGTAGTTGTGTGGAACGTGAGTGAAAAGGTAAAATCTTTTATCGGTAATCAAATAATCAAATTTAACCAAAGATGTTTTTTCTTTTTTCTCTTTGCCACGAAGAAATATAACACAACTATGCTCTGCTTTACCAGACGACAACATTGTACCAGCCAATCTTGCACAGTCACCTACTCACAACCAAAAACATAAAGTGAATATTTTCTAACCAAAAAAAATCAAATGAAACCCATGCTTTATTGTTGCAGAGAATATACAATGGTGTATTCTGTATTTATTTGTACATATTTGATGACATTTCTATGACCTTTGTGTATCTTCCCTTTGTAAAACAGCACTAGCAAATATGCCAACCTTATTATATAAACGATGCTGCTCCATTCTTCCGCAATAGCATAACGTGTACACTTTCAGTATGGAGAACATTGCTCTGCACACATTCAATTAAAATGGAAAGACTTTATAATTGGCCTCCACATTAGCAAACCATTAATTCCTCATTTATAGTCAAAGGATGATTTTAATTGTGTGCATTTCTCTCTGTATTCCTCGTGCAGTGTCTTACTAAAGTCACATTCAATTGCCTGGAATCCTCCAAAAAGTCTAAGTTTAATTTTCTGCTTGATATGGTCTGCATATGTCTTGCATTTGCAAGTAGACTGCTTTCAATCCATGCAGCACTTTCTTTCTTCTTCTCATTACAAAGTATGTCTTTATGTTTGACCACTTAACTTTTCAACATACGGTTGCTATTAGTATTAGTAGTGTTTGTGTTATTCCCTTGCCACGCACTATGCAGATTGATTCAAAAGGCTACATTTCACTTTAAAGGAGACATATTATGGAAGATTGACTAACTTGATCTTTGAACCATTTATCTACATTGTTCAAAAACAGACATGGGGTTGTTTATATTCTTCAACGCTAATATCAGGAACTAACTAGCTCTTAATTAGTTTTGGCAATTTGCAAGTGAAATTTTGTTCTTTTTATAAACATTTGCAGCTGGTCATTTTCGAATTTGGAAGAAAAAAATAATCCCCCTCTTGTGGTAAAATTGGATTTGTTTTTTTTTTGTATTCGTTTATTTGAATAAGGACAGTACACATAATCAACATCACATCAACATGTACATGCTATACAGCTGGTTTTCAACCGCAGTCCCTAGGCCAGGGGTGTCCAAACCGGTCCA